CGCAGGCCCCCTGCGGGGGGCTCCTCCACCTGCCCCGCACGCTCTGCAGGAGCCCCGGCAGCAAACCTTCGTCATGCCCCGGCCACCGCATCAGCCCATGCACATGCCAAAGATGATGCCCGAACACCAGTATCCACCGGAGCACAGGTAAGCAGCGTTAGCTTTGCTCGTGTGGCGGGGCGGGGTTGGGTTTGCTGCGTGGCTCGTGCGGAGCATGCTCAGTGACGCTGTCGACGCCCCTAGCAGAGAGGACCCGTGCGGCTCAGGCCCCGCATGGCGTGTTTGGAGGACTTAGTGGGGGAATAGTTTTCTATGGGGCGTTGCTCTCCAGAGCCCTCTCCCCGCTCTGTCTTGGATCCCTGGCCAGAGGGCTCCTCTCCCGGCACTTTGCTCTGTTGCCGAAATGATCAGCATTAATATTGAAAGCTTCCTTTGCCGCAGCACCCTCCAACGACTGGGGCTCGCCGCGGCTTTTTCGCTCTGAAAAGGCACCGGTCGGCAGCCTTGGAGACTGGCTGGGCCCTGCCCCAAAGAGAGAGGGCATTGGCCTTGGTAGCACTGCCCTTCCCACCCTGTTGAGAGGCTTCCTCCAGGGAGGAGCTGTTGGCTTGGCCGGTTTGCTACGGATTGTGGGCAGCTGGGAGTGTTGTGGCAGAACTTAGCCAGCCAGTCCTCGGGCTGGGACTCATCAGCTAACTTGACTTAGGAAGCGGAGCAGCCAGGTCTTTGGACCACAAAGAGCCTGGGTGGGAATGGAAGAGATTTTCTCAAACTGTCGGCCGGCCGTTCCCACGTTGCGTCTGTCTTCACTTACTAATGGCTTTAGATGATTCTCCTCTTTAGAACATGCCTCGCGTATCTGTAGATACGCTTTCGGCATCGTGACCAATGTTCCCCCCCGAGATTTTTGTCCATCCTGGTGTGGAATCAATTTTGTTAGGTGCACCGAATCATGTGTGGATGTGCACCACCAGTAGAAACGCATGCTGCCAGTTCTGGGCACTGTGCTAATCAGCTGGGCGGCATTTGAATCTCTCCTGGGTGGCCGCCCAAGTGCTTAGCTTCCAGGGAACGCTGCTTGTGACCCCCTTGCCCATTCTGTATCTTGACGGACTACGCCCCGTTCTCTGAAGGGCCCGCTGCCTAACTCAAGCCGGATGACTACCTGGCATGCGGACCGTGCGACGCCTCCCTGCACGAGCCAGGCGGATGGCTTGTGTGTGTGGCTGACTTGGGG